TATACGCATGAAGTTTTCATACATTGATCTCAACGATCATGCAATTATCCCACGCTGAGAGGACTTCATACGAGTCGAGTGATATCTCTTAAAAACAATCACCATGACTTCTAAACAAACCAAAAAAAAAAAATAACTTGAAAGCCAACAGTTAAGTTTATACTCCGACCTTTGGTCACTTCAGAGGCTGGTGATGTTTTTGGTTTTGTATGAAGCTGGTACGTGACACATTAGTCTGGAATGTGTCGAGAGACACGTACATGCCACAAGTAACAGAGAAGAGGTGGAGAGGGGGTTAACTCTGATGGGGGTGTGTGAGAGGACAATTAGCAGAGATAAGAAACAAGTGTGTTTCACAACCACTGACTGGGATGCAGCCCGTGAACTAGGTGGGGTTCACAGTGGCTCAGTTGTAGATAACGGCTGTATTTGATGTAGCAGTGCAGAGGTGGGAGTATTAGAAAGAAATACTCAGAGAAGACTATGTCTCCAGTGTCCATTAAAGGCTCCATGCTTCAGTGTCCAGGAGAATTTGGACAGGTTTTTAGGATCAGAGGAAAAGTCCGTTCTTATGATGTTCACTGATGCATGTTCAGGGTCAGAACCTCCTTCAGTCATGACCCAGCGCACAGTGACGCTAACTCACTGCAGATGTAGGTGTAGCCCGAGGGCGTGGCTACACTTGAGCTCAGGGTTTTGATTTGCTGTGAGACTCCTGCCCCCTAGTGACATGAAAATGTAAGTTTGTATGTACTGGAAGAGGAAGCTGTGCACCGGGACCAGACATAGATGGATTTGACATTTAATGAAACCTGAGTCACTTGATGGGTTTTTATTATATCAATGACCTAGGATCTTGTCAGGGTGTGCATCTTTAAAAAAAAAAAACAACAAGGCAAAAGCATTTGTGCTAAATGAAAAAAAAAAAAAGATAAGATAAGGAGTAAGTTTATTACCTTAATGTAATTTCAAACAAATTTATTTTTTAATTTTAAACAACTTAAGCTCAACTCAAGCTAGAAAGCTAGAGTTATATATATGTGTGTGTGTATATATATATATATATATATATACGTATATTTATATATAGGTGTATAGGTGTATATATGGTGGTTAAATATGTTCTATTGTGTTTGTGGATAAGAAAAATAGTAAAATAAAGAATTTTATTGTCAAACTTTTTTCTTTTGCTAATTTCTTTTTTTTTTTTTTTTTTTTTTTTTTTTTTGAGCTGTGAGAAAAGTTATATCTCTGGAACTAAGTAACCAGGGCAGATATACATCTCCATTGTACCAGTTCTTTCTCACTGCCTACTTTTATGGCTTTGTGTGAAATGTCTTCAAGCTCGGAATGGACATGACATCTCACAGAGAAAATGTCTCTCGGCCGACACATTTCATTTACCACTGATGTGTGACAGTTATTCCTCTCCAACCGTTGTCTCCATAAATCTAGAATATGGATTCTGTTTATGGCCCTTTAAAGCCTGCGTGGATCACAGAGGTGGGAGTAAATAGACCAGGAAGAGGAAATCGGTGTGTCGGTTTAGAAAAGTGTCACACTCACATGCACATCCTTGTTCCTTTCTGAGGCTCTCAGAGTGCTCGAGGTCATTAACAAAAGTGTGAATATACATTTTAACCTGTGTGTGTAAGAGTTTGCGAGGCCTGGATGAGCATGCGCTGAGGTTGAACGACAGGAAACCGAGAGAGAAAAGGGAGAGAGGGGAGGTTCATTCAAGGCCACAGCAGGCAGCCAGCAGTAATAGTCTGACAGTTGTCCAAGATTTGTGAAGCTCATAAAGTCCCATAGTTGTTTCCAGATTCTTGTTGTGTTTCCATGACTCACAGGCTTTTCTTTCTCATTTTCTTGTATCATGTCGGAAAAAGAGAGCTGTAATATAAACTTAATTTACTGGGGGAAAAAACTCCTACTCATGATCACAACTCAAGCTGGAGCTAAATTAATTACAGGTAGAGGTCTAAATTCTAACTTCTACTTTTTACATATATTCTCGAAATAACATGAATATTAACAATAACAATATATATATATATATATACAGGATATAGATTATTTTATTCTATTGATGTTTTTTTTTCGTCTTGTGACTCTCTTCCTTTGCATGCCCTGATGTGTACATTCTATAAATTCTACATCTGTGTTACTCTGCTGCACCATGACTCTTCTAGCGCCGTGATTTCTCTGTAGGTCCCATACATATGGCAAAAGTTACAACGAAGTCTCATCTGACTTGGACTTGATATGCTAATTATTATGGTCTGTCTCCTCTGTGGTTTGACTAAGCCAGACTAGTTCAGTATGCTCAGATCTCACTTCATTTATTTTTTCTTTTGGGGGGGGTGTGGGAGGGAGGGTGGGATGGGGGTGCACCAGCATGTTTGA